TGATTAAGAACCTAAAAAAAAAAAAATTGGCCATGACAGCTTCCTAACACAGACCAAGAAACCCATACTCAGATGGACTAAATTTCAAGGTGAATGAATGAAAATTCAAGAACAGCATGCCCTTTAGCTTTATTTGTTCAAATGTATATAGTTATGAAACAGAAGAAGAAAAAGGGTAAAGAAATAGTTTAACTGAATCATGGGGGGGAGGCTCATCATTGAGTTGCTCTAAAGGTTGTTTTCAACAATTGTTGTCATGTGTTCTTTTCTGATGTCCTTTGTATCTCTGGTTGGATTCGTACTAATGAAGTTCATCTGGGGTTATGACTTATGATCCAAAAAGAAGGAAGAGAAAGTTACCGAGGAAGCCTTTTTATTCATCTTGTAAGTAATACAGAATTCTTTTTGAAATGCTTTTTGCAAGGGAAGTAGTAGTGGCCATATTGCCATACTGTTAGTGACCTCCACTTGAACTTAGCCACAACGCAGCACCTAGTTTAGTGGTCCCCTATGTTTCTAATGTTTGATGTTTAGTGAGTGTTTAATGTTGGTTATGGTGCTTGTAATGATTCTGGTTCCATAATTTGTTTGGATCATCTTTCGTGAATATTATGTTTCAAAGAAATTAAGTGTTCCCTTCTACTTATGTTGAGTTTGCTCCAAGTGAGTAATTCTTTCTATTTTCTCTTCTCTGTTTTTTCAGTTTTGTCTTGTTTTTAAAGTGCTTTTGCCATTTTTAAATGGATTTCTTGTCCATTTATAAATCTCATTCGTGAATATCAAATAAAAAAATATATTCAAATTCTATGATTATGATTTTGCATTCAGTTGATATCATTGATTTCCCCATGTATTAGATTTAATAAATTGTAAGGAAAGTATGAGAAAAATCCCTCTTTCCTACCCTTGATTGAAATTTTATGATAATGAAAAGAGATTATTCAATTTAAAATAATTAATCAATTCTTTTACTGGAAATTATTTATGCATTAATTAACATTTTGTATCAATATATGAGAGAAGATAACATGATGATTGCTAGACCCATTCTATATGCATTGAATAGAAATAATATATTTTTAGTAAAAAGAAGTTTTTTGTCTCTAGAATTAAATAAAAATATTATATGACAATTAAATTAAAACTTACCCAATTTACTATAATTAAAACCAAAGATAAATGTTAAAATAAAATTTTTGTCTCTAGTTTTTCAATCCATAGTTTTGGTCTCTTATTTTAAGAAGAGAAAAATATTAGTAATCCAAAATTTCAAAATAAGTTAATTTAGTCTAACATCAAAATTTAGACAATTCGAATTAAGATATTAATATTGACTTTACATGTGAGACATTCTAATCTGGACAAGTTTGTTTAATTTGTTGTTATAAAAATCAAAGAAAATTTATGTAACCAACTGCATTGAAATTGATGTTAAAATATTTTAATCATCTTAAAATAATAATAATAATAAAAAAATTGTACAATATCATATGAAATCAACATTAATGTCTTTCAATGACTTAACCCTAAAATAAAATAATTAATTTTCAAACTTTGGAGGACTAAAGTTCTGTATTTCCAAACAGATGTATTATAACTACTGATTGAAAATAAGAGAAAAAAAATATGCATTTTAGAAAGAAAATATTGCATATAGCTTTGGACTGGAATACGAGGTTGCTGAGTAACAACCATTTTATAGCAGAAGATGAAACACAATGCAAACAAACAGGGCGAAAGCGAAACATCGGAGAGAAAAAGGAACAAATGGGCCCACTATCTTGGCCAATCAGTGAGTGGTTGTGATCCTTCATCCTTTTCAAATCACACATTTTCACTGTTTTCAGAATCATGGCCACAAAAGATGATAGAAGGATAAGAAGAAACCACCATTCTCTAACGTTCCAATTCAAACACAACACCACGAGACAAATAAGATTGCAATTATCTCTTTTTTTATTTTTTTTATTTTTTTGGGTCTACAAGTACTATAGTTTCCACTTTTGGAGATTGTTATCCTGTTTGGATATTCTTCGTAGAATTCTATTTTAAAAAAATATATTTTAAATACCCATATAAACATAAAATAATAAAATTGGTTACTTCATCCATTCGATCTCCACTCTTAATTTATAAAAAAATATATTAATATATTGTAATCAGATAAGTTATATATTTCAATTTGTCCCACTAAAAATTGATACACCAACTTATTATCTCACAATATAATTTTTATATATATAAATTTTTTTATATTAATTTTTTAAAGAATATATTTTTAATTATAGGAATAATTTTTAAGATAAAATTCATTAATTAATATTTTTATTAGATAAATTAAAAAAATTTATTATGTTTATATATTAAAATATCTAATTATAATTACTAATTTAAATTTAATTTATTATTATTTATAATTTAAATTATAATATTATAATATATTTGTATATTTTAATAATATAACATAGAATATAATATATTCAATTATAATTATTTTTATTTATATATATATATATATTTTTTTTTAAATGGTTAATTCGTCTCATTTTTAATCCTCCAAATAAATTAGTTAAAAAAAAAGAACTGACAAATTAAAACTACTCACTCATCTTATCAATTTCAAAATTTTAAAATTGAAAAATTTATTAGTCAAACCTAATGTTTTATGATTTATATAAATATACACATAATACATTTCTTTCATAAACAAATCAATTCTATCTTAAAAATTGTAATATATATATATATATATATAAACAACTATATATTGATTTACCTTCTTTGTAAAAAAAATAATAATGAAAACACATTGCAAAACATAAACAGAAATGAAGTTTAAGGATGTTAATATGTCATGAGGTTTGAATTTTTTATTCTTGATATTCTCCGCTGTGCCACCAGAAAAAGCATGAACATGGTTTGATTCTAACTTTTTTTTTTTTTTTGGTTATTATGTATAGAAAGAAAGTAAAAGCTAAAGGAAATTATTTGATTGAGAAATAAGTAAAACTGTTCAACGTGCACACTAAGTCACTAACTTAGGTCGGCCATAAATATCACTACCATAAACATGCTAACCAAAATGACATGACATTGAACCAATATCATTAGCTTCTAACACCCACGATTAACATTTAAAATCGACTCTAAAACAAACACATACAAACATATTAGATCTTGCTTTGTTTGAGCAAAGTGTTAGTATTCTTAGGTTATTTTGCTTTTAAAAAAATGAATGAATAAATACAAAATTAATTTTATTGTATTAACTTTGTTTATACATAGATATGAATGACATAAGAAGGCTAGGTGGGATTCCATCCAGTTCACCAAATCACACCAATTCCTAATTAAATTGCAATTAAAATTATAATATGATTATTTAAATATAATTATTGACAATAATGCTGAAACACAGAGAAGTAATATGTCTTATTCTTTCTTAACAATTTAACAATATAAAACAAACAAACTAATACTATTTTTATTCTTTCACATGATATAAAACAAAAGTTTGTGTGCATGTGAAGAAGATTAAATTTTACAACATACTTATACATACAACAACTAACCTCTAAGCCAAATAATTATTAAAGACATGCATGATTGATGATAGGAATAAGTTGAGTGATACCAAATTTTTTTATGTTAAAGAAGAAAATGTTTAATATATATAAATTGATTGAAAATATGATATACCCACCAAACAGTTGAAGAAGGAGAAGGTGTAGGTGAATGAAAATGTCACAATAACTAACATAACATAAGTGTTGGTTGAGTTGAGTTGAAGGAGAAGACAAGATTAGTTTGAGGTGTGAGGTTCGTTCGTTTGGGCATCCCAGAGTGGCACACAACTCACTCACACTCCACTTTTTCCTTCTCCAACCCAAAACCTTATAAAAATATATTTTTTATAAAAAAAATAAGAAAAGTTTATAAATATAATATATTTAACACCACCTTCTTAATCCAAAACTTGACACTGAGTTATGGATTTTTTTCGTTACTCAATTTTCTCAAATTGTTTTATTAACGTAGGACTCAAAATCACAACTATTGTTTAAAAATAACAATAATAATAACATTACTTTCACTTCAATTTTTTAGTTTTTCACCATTTCGCTCTTTTTTTTAAGCCTTGTCCTAGGATTTCTCTTAGACCGTCACATTCTCAATCAGAAATTTCTTTCATCAACCAATTTTCTTATGAAAGCACTAATCTACAAACAATCACATTTATACTTAACATTCAACCAAGTTATTGGTGACAAATCACTTTCTTTCTATTACTATCTATCTCGTCAATTATCTTATCTTATTTTCCATGCTCTTTTAATTTTTCTCTTTGTTATTTTCAAATAATTATTCTTTAATAATTGCATTACAACTGAAAACATATTTAAGATGTATAAAAAAATGTTATGAGAGCAATGAACAGCGTTTTTAATCAACTTAACGAAGATATACGGTTGAAGATATCAAGTAGATAGAACAAAGAATCTACTTCTCTGACCTAACACCTCAAGGCCAGAAATTAAAAGCACATTCACAATTTATGGAGTGGTCCATAATGAACCTAGAATTTAGAAAAGAAAATTAAATTAAAACATTGATTTATGAACTTATCTAAGGTTGTGATTGTGAGTTCACATGAAGATTATTGGAAAGGAAAGTCTCAAATTGCAAAAGAAAAAAAAAACAGAGATTTTTTTTTTTTAACAAAGTTTGCTTTTGATTATATTCCCTTGGTCATCTGCCACTCAGAAAAAGTGAACCACCAAGTTGCAGAATCCAGTAAAATGTATTAAATTTTCACAACCTCCAACCCAACTTCCCCCATTATTCTTTACTTTCTTTCTTCTTCTGCTTTCTTCCTTACTCTGCCCCTAAAAAATTGCAGATTCTACCTTTTGATGCAAATGGGATCAACCCACCAACCCTAGAGGCTCACACCTGCAAGATTCATTCATTCATCTCAAACCAAACAACCCACTTCAATTATGGCAGCATTTTATACTTCCCATTACTTCAGGGCCTTCATTTTCTCCATTTTATTCCTCAAAACCCTAGCTTTTGACCCAATTCCTTTGTTTTCTTATGCTGGTTTTGGTAAAGATCTGAAATTTAAGCCAAACGTGGCACTTTATGGTAATGCAAAGGTAGTCAATGATGGTTCTGGGATTCATTTCTCTGGTTCTGGGAGTTCAGACACGGGGAGTATCATGTACAAGAAACCCATCAAACTTTTTCAAGGTAAACCAAGGCAATTGGTGTCCATTTCTACTTACTTTGCATTTTCAATCTCCTTGGATAGTGGGGGTGGTTTGGCTTTTGTTATGATTCCCAAGGGTTCTGAAGGGGATGTGTTTTATAAAAGTTCTTCTGGGTTGAATGATAGAAATTTTGAAGTTATTGGGGTTGAGTTTAGTGCTTCACGGGGTGGTGAAAATGGGGTTTCTTCTAGTTGTAATGTGACCATTAATCTTGGTGGTTCAGTTGTTGCTAAAATAAGTAACAATTGGGCTTTAAGAAGTGGAGAAAAGTTGCATGCTTGGATTGACTATGAAGCTAGTTCAAGGCGCTTAGAAGTCAGGTTGAGTCAGCATGGTAAATCAAGGTCTTCTGTTCCACTGCTATGGCACTCAATTGACTTGCCAAATGTGTTGAAGGAGGATGAGATGTTTGTGGGTTTTAGTTCTGTAAAGGGGAATGGTTCTCAAGCATGCTTTCTCTATTCGTGGAGCTTTGTTCTGAAGAGTTTTCCACATTCAATGCATTCAGAGCCTCTGGATCCAAAGGTCTTTGTAAAAAACACCGAAGATCCTGTGGTTAAACAAAGGAGTGATTGCTTTTTAAGAGTTCTTGCTGCAATGATATTTGGTACTGGATGTGGAGCTTTGACAGCATTTATTGTGCTTTACTTGTGGACCATCTTTGGTAATAAACGTGTAGTGGTGCCAGAGGAAACTGTTATGCAACCTGTAGATGTTGAGTATAGGAAAGTCAAAATTGTTGTAGATAAAACCATCCAAGATGGTAAGAATTAAATCCTCGTGAGGGAAGAGGTTGGAAGCTTGTGTTTATAAACTTAGTTTGTCTTGTATTTTTAGGTTTTGCTCTATTGTAGAAGTCTTGGTAAAGGGCTTTATGTATTTGGTTTTTCTGAGGACTATTGTTTATCCAACTGTGTTAAAAGATTGCTTACTTTTTTGAAACATGCCTAAGTTCTATGTATGTAACTGACATTGATTTTATTTTATGAAGATATCACAATCAACTATGTCAATGAATTAGTTGCTACTCAGGCTTCCTTCGGTAATATAAACCGACAAAATTACTTCTCTTTAGACTTTCTTTCAGTTCCTTTCCATTCAAGAGAAATGCATAAACTCAATTGGAAATGACTCCCTGTAAATAGCTTTAGCACTGTACTTTCAAGGATCTAAAGAGAAAATTTTAAACACTAGAGGAAACTTTGACCCCTCTAAACATTTTCTCATCTATTCATGTAAATGAACGATATTATTTGGTGCTGTAATATATGCTCTATAATTATGGTTCCTCTGCAGCCATGTAACACTGTAATTTTAAGAATCTCGAATATCTTATATTAGAAAGAGATAGCAAATTAATAGAGACAATGAGAACTTTGTGCAAGATTGTTTTTTCCTGTAAGAGCAGGAATTCATTTGAATTTGAATTTTCGAGAACCCCTTGTTCAAGTTTAAAAAGTAGGAGAAAAAGGTAATCGTGTCTTGGGTTGAGAAGTCAGACAGAGCTGTCAGAAAATTCAAACACGCAAAGCTTTTTCTCAGACAACTTGACTACTGGAAGAAATTTGATGGCTAGCCAAAATGTGTAGATTTTCATCAATGAATGCTAAGATTTGAACTTTTAGAATAAAAATGACTTTACAACGACTTTGAATAATGCTTTGCATTTTGCCCTTCATGTTTGTCTAAGAGTTGGTCAAATAAATTCTTCCAGGGGCTGTAAAAGTGTCATTCATATGCAGCATAAGGAATGCAAGGTGTGCTTAAAAGGAATGCAAGGAAGGTGCTTAGCTTAAAAAGATCATTAATCATCGAATATTTTTGGATGGATAAAACATTTGATCTTTGAAGCAAAAGCAGTTTTACATTATCGTCCCTACCAACAAGGATAACATAAAAACGGAAACAAACATTGGAGCCAGTTTTATATAGAACAGTAATAGAAACTAAATCTAGCCGGAACAAAACCATCCCCTCAGAAAGAGACAATTAACCGGCAACAGGAAGTTGCGGCATAGTATGCATATTCTTCATCTCCACCGCAATACACCAACATCAAAATCAGATTTCATGTGCCTGGTACTCTTCCTCATCATCTTCCTCCTCATACTCATCATCCTCAGCAGTGGCATCCTGGTACTGTTGATACTCTGACACAAGATCGTTCATGTTGCTTTCGGCCTCAGTGAACTCCATCTCATCCATGCCTTCACCAGTGTACCAATGCAAGAAAGCTTTTCTCCTGAACATAGCAGTGAATTGCTCACTCACTCTGCGGAACATTTCCTGAATAGATGTAGAGTTTCCAATGAATGTAGAGGCCATCTTCAAGCCTGTGGGGGGAATGTCACAAACTGTGGATTTCACGTTGTTGGGAATCCATTCAACAAAGTATGAGGAGTTCTTGTTCTGAACATTGATCATTTGTTCATCGACCTCCTTGGTGCTCATTTTTCCTCTAAACATTGCCGAGGCAGTGAGGTAACGGCCATGGCGAGGGTCAGCAGCACACATCATGTTCTTGGCATCCCACATTTGCTGTGTGAGTTCTGGAACACTCAGGGCCCTGTACTGTTGAGAGCCACGGGATGTCAACGGAGCAAATCCCACCATGAAAAAGTGGAGGCGAGGGAATGGAATGAGGTTTACTGCAAGCTTTCTCAGATCAGAGTTAAGCTGACCAGGGAACCTCAAACAACAAGTTACACCAGACATGGTTGCTGATATCAAATGGTTCAAGTCACCAACTGCACAAGAGTGAAACAACACAGTCAATATCTTTATTAAACAATAGAACAATGGACAAACACAGGCTAAAGTTGGTTGGAAAAGGGTTAAGTAGAAGTTGTAAAAGCTTACAGCTTGGAGTGGTTAGCTTGAGGGTACGGAAGCAAATGTCGTACAAGGCTTCGTTATCAAGCACCATGCACTCGTCAGCATTTTCAACAAGCTGGTGAACTGAGAGAGTGGCATTGTAGGGCTCCACCACAGTGTCAGAGACCTTAGGAGAAGGAAAAACAGAGAAAGTAAGCATCATCCTATCTGGGTATTCTTCCCTGATCTTCGAAATCAACAGGGTACCCATTCCTGATCCAGTTCCTCCACCCAGAGAATGGCATACTTGGAAACCTGCAAAGAAGAAATAACAAATCCAAAATCAATCACAAACTAACACCACGTTTCAAAAGTTACCCATAAAACAGTCGAAACAAAACAGCTCCGTTCCAAAAACAAACCATAAAAAAATACAACATTTCAGAAATCAACCTTGCAAACCCCCAAATCAAAAATCAACAACCTCACAACCTTCTCGTGTTAAAATCATCCACGAATCACGATTTACCAATCACGACAAGTTTCAAAATCAGTCACAGAATACATCCGAAGCTCTCTTATAATAAAAACCACATGCAAATATAAAAGCACCCACAAAATTCCCCATAAACACACGCCATGAAACATCCAACTCAAACAAACCCTAAAAAGTTCCCACCTTTAGTGAAATCTATAAAACCACACCCTCATTTCAAAACATCCACAAACCCTCCATCCTTCATTTTAGCTACAACCACAAAAGCCCAATCCAAATCCATCCACAAAACACAAAAAAGCTTAAACCTTTAAACATAAAACTCATACCCTGCAAGCAATCACAGTTCTCAGCCTCCTTGCGCACAACATCCAGCACAGAATCAATCAGTTCAGCACCCTCGGTGTAATGCCCCTTGGCCCAGTTGTTCCCTGCACCGGACTGCCCAAAAACGAAGTTGTCGGGTCTGAAGATTTGACCGTACGGTCCAGACCGGACACTGTCCATGGTGCCCGGTTCAAGGTCCATGAGAACCGCTCGCGGCACAAACCGGCCACAACTGGCCTCATTGTAGTAAACATTGATCCTCTCGAGCTGCAGCTCCGAGTCTCCACCGTATCTTCCGGTGGGGTCGATGCCATGCTCGGCACAAACCACCTCCCAAAACTTAGCACCGATCTGGTTGCCGCACTGGCCACCCTGAATGTGAAGAATCTCACGCATTTTGCCTATAGAGAAAAGAAAAGAAAAAGACAGAAATTGGAGTTTGAAAGAGAGAGAGAAAGGAGAGTGTCTCGAGATGGAGTGGGGACGATGGGGTAACCAAGGGTGAGAGGGTTCTCTTTTATAGAAAAGTTGGTGGCTTTTTGTTGCAACGGTTGGATTTTGAATGGGGTTGGAGAGCAATGGATGAGCTGTGATTTCTTTTCTTATTTTAATTTTTTTGTGGGAAAATGGTGTGTGAGAGAGGGTTTTAAAATTTGAAATTTTTTGAATGTCCAGCTGGAAGCAATGTAAATGGGTCTCTCTCTGGGATGATAGGGGTGACAGTCAAAATCTTAAACCGGCGAGTTTTCATTGAGATTTTAACTTTTTGGTTTTTAATTTCTTGAACATTTAAATTTAAAGAGTTGGGTAATTTATTAGTATGTTTTGTTTGAAATAGGTAAGCAAGGGTGTAAAGACAAGTATGTGTGTCTAATTTTGCGGGATGTAATAAGTGCACTTCATCAAATTAATGGACCCTTTTTTTTCAAATTAAATTGTGTAGATTAATTAAAATAGTTGAAAAAATTAGTACACGAGTTTGTGTACTTGCAAATAACAATAATAAAAATTATTTATCTTTCGATATACTATCTAGTGAATGAGTTTGTGCACTTGCAATTCTGTTTAAGAATATATAATGATATGTGATATTATTTTTTAAAATTATATTTTTTCTATTATAATTGTAATGTTTTTAAAAATAAAAGATATGCATGCATAATATAGAAATCATTAACACATGTTTTTAAAATAAACAGAGGATTAATTCTAAAATTTTAGAGAAATTTTATATAAAACATAATTATATTTATTAATTATCAAAATCATCTAATAACTTAAAAAATTATAGATTTCTAAACCATTCAAGTTTAATAATTACATAGTTTGATCAATCAATATACTTTATTTAAGTAAATATTAATAAATTAATTTTAATATTACTCTTTTTTTCATTTATATATATAATTATTCTTTTTATTTTATAATTTTAAAAATATTTTAATTTATTATTTTTATATTAAAATATATATTTATATAAAATGTTTGGTCATGTTTTTTTCTTATATGAATCATATGGATATTTATAATATTGTTATCATATAATATAAAAAAATTATTATAAAATATATAAATTAATTATTAATGAATTAATATAAAATAATAAAAATTTTAATTTCCTTCAAATTATATAATATAATTGGATCAAGTTTCAACTAATAATTCTTCTAAACAAATATCAAATGGTAACAAAACTTCATGGTAACAAAACTTCATTTGGTATGTGACTAGTACGAATCAGTGCCAAATTTTTCTTCTATGCTTCATGTGTTACTTAATTGTATTGTTTCATTATTATAAGTAAAAAAAAAATAATTTCTTGCAACAACTAAAAAACCTACGTTATTTTTTGCCTATCTATTTTTTCTTTACTCTATTTATATTTTTAAAAATAAGACTTTTTCTTTACTCTCCATCCTTGTGCAAAATTATTCTGTTGGAATTAGGAAAATTATCTTATCTGCCTTGACTACTACCTTGAGCACCCATATAATTAACTTCTTCTTGTTGAATGTTGTCTTGAGAAGAGCATTGTTCATTTGAATGACCACCTCCACACAAGTCGCATTTCATAAATTGTTGACCAGGAGAAGCTTGGATAACATTTATTTGTTGAGGTAGCTTTGCTATTTACTAAGTCAATGCTTCCATCTGTTTAGTCAGAATTTTATTCTGAGCTAGCATAGCATCTGAAGTGTTAAGCTCCAACATTCCTTTCTTTTGAATTGGATGTCTATCATATTGAGCATGTTGGTCTATAAAGGCTAGTGCATCAATAATTCTTATGGCATGTTCGATTTTTGCATCTAGCATGGATCCTCTTGTTGCAACATCTAATAGCATCTTTGTATCAGGCCACAGGCCAGTATAGAAAATATTCAATTGAGCAATGTCTTCAAATTCATGATTTGGGCATCTTCTCAATAGTGATTTAAATTTCTCCCATGCTTCACAAAAAGATTCATTTGCTCCTTGTCTAAAGGTAGAGATGTCGGAATTTGCCTTGATGTAGCGGGATAGTGGAAAAAATATGTTCAGAAACTTCTCTTCTACATTACTCCAATTAGTCAAACTTTGATTAAGATGTGCCTTCAGCCACTCCTTTGTCTGCCAAAGAAAAAGGAAATAATCTCAAATATGTAGATTCAATATTTGTTGCTCTAATTCCCATGGTATCAATAAACTCATACAAAGTAGACAAGTGAATATAAGGGTCTTCATGATCCAATCCAGTGAATTGATGAGCACTAATCAAGCTTAAGAAAGCTGGATTCATCTACAATGTTTGGTCGTCCGTTATTGCAATGCTAGAGAAGTGTCTCGGACCTTGCTGCATAACATAATTTTTAAGTGTTCTTCTATGTGGATTTGGATTTGGATTTAGATTTGCTCCGTCTTTCGTCATATCTTCTATAATTGGGTCTGGTAAATTGAGTGTGGAAGAAGAGTTAATTGATTCTCCTGTGACTTGTTCTTGAATTTCCCTTCTTCTTCTACCCCAGTTCCTCCGAGGGATTTTTTCAATCTCCGGATTAATTTCTAACTGCTCTAAAGATACTTGTCCTCTTAAACGCATAAATAAAAAAAGTAACTCAAGCAAAGATTAGCACAAGACAATAATTAAACAAAATAAAACTAAAGAGTAAAACAAAATAGAAATAAAAATAAAATACTTAATGAGGTAAACAAAGAATTCTCAAAGAACATTATTCCCTAGCAACGCCGCCAGAAATACTTGTTGAATTATTGGCAAGCACACCAAAATATCAATCGCAGTATAGTATTTCGATTAAATAAAAGTCGATCCTACGAGGAACAGTTTTAATGAAAATTTCCAATTATATGCTTACTAAGTGGATTAAAACAAATTGGGTTTTGCATGCTTACTAAGTGGATTAAAACAAATTGAGTTTTGCATAAAGAGTTGAATTGAAATTAAATGACAAAAAATTGTAAATTGTTGAGAAAAGATCAATTAAAGGCACTTAGGATTAACTTCCTTCCTTTTCCCTCTTTTGTAATGACTATATCAATTAAGAACGTCAATTAACCTAACAATGTTGATGCCACCTACTTAAATCATCCATGTTGATTCCTCACACATGAAATTCATAAGAAAACCTAATAAATGTTGATTCCTCACACAATTAAGAGATTTTCCAGCATTAGGTTTAGGGTGTTAAGCAATTGATACATTCATTCCATTCTTAGCAATTAACATAACAAATATTATTACCATGATCTAGGGTTCAAGATATATTTTCCAATCATATCCCAAACATCAAGGATAAATCATTCCAAAACATAAAGGATAAGAATAACAACATCAAAACATAGATTAATATTTCAAAATATCACCATGATACAAAAGAGTTCAAAGGAAGTGCACCAAATCCCAAGAGAATAAAGTTAACCACTCATGTTGGCCATTACAATGCTCCAAATGAGGAAGAAGTGAAGAATTGATGCAGATTGGACGAAACCCTAGCAGTAGTCGCACCTCTTCTCCCCAAAACTGCTTCCCCCTCTCAAAACTCGTCTTATCTTTTTATAAGAGAAAATTGGCTTTTGGGTTTTGCATCTTTCGCTCAAGCGACAACACTCGCTCAAGCGAAAGTTCCCTATTTTCGCTCAAGCGACAAATTGATCGCTTGAGCTAGTGAGCTCCAGAAAAGAATAACTAATATTCGCTCAAGCGAATATACTTGCGCTTGAGCGACTGATTTCCAGAGAAGAATAACTGCTATTAGCTCAAGCGAAAGTCTATTTTGCTCGAACGACATCCATGCTATCCTTCCAGTCTTGCTCTAATTATGTTGACAATTATGCTCCTTACTCTTGTATCAAGGTATTTTCGAATTCATCCTATATTGGGAGAAAAATAAATTAGAATTAACATAAGTTAAGTGATTTCATAACAATTCAAAGTATAATTATATCAACTTTTTATCACATAACAACTTTTAACACAAGACACTCACATAGAGATATTTTGTAACAACTGCAACCACAATATGCAAAAATATAATATTTCATGGATGATCAAAATAAATTGATATTCAATTTCATAAGATTCGAGATTTAGTTGAAGAGAAAGAGGTAGATATAAATATTATCTATTGAAAACAAGTTATAGATATTTTCATTAAACTATTAAAAGTTTAATTATTTTATAAAATGAAAAAAATAGTTTGAATTGATACAACCTTGATTTGATTTAAGAGAGACAATGATAAAATTAAAATCAAATTTACAATTTTGTTGTTGTAAAGGTATTTAATGTTTCACTCATTTACTTACATATCATTCAGTGGCGGATCTTGACCATTGATCTTGGAGGGACCAAATAATATATTATTAATAAATAATAAATAAATATAAAAAGAAGAAAGAAGATGAAAGAGTGAAAAGATAAAATTATAGATATATACTTAAATATATTAAATGATCATTAAGTTTGAGGGAAACAAAATCATAAATTATATGAGAGTTACAAAACTGAGGAGAGGTTGAGAGGGTGAAATTGTAAATATACAAGTAAATATATTAAATATTCATTATGTTTGGAGGGGGGCCAAAATCATAAATTGCATGGGAGTTACAAAACTTTGGGGGGGGCACGACCCCCTTCAGCTCCCAAGAAGATCCGCCACTGATATCATTAGAAAGTCTATGTGATGATTTTATCATTTATTTTTATTTCTTTTGGTCTATATAAAGGTTAAGAATTTTAGTTGTTAAGTATGAAAATAATTGGGAAATACTCATTAACTAATACACAAAAAAGCTCTTTATGTATGTTATTTTAGTTTTTTTGCATCAAACTAAGCTCCAATGTTGATACGGGAGAAATAAATTTACGTTGAAATAATTATCCGACTAAAAACGCCAAAATTTACATTAGTTATTACAATAATTGACATAAGTTTTCATGTGTTTAAGAGGATTTGTTTTCTCTCCCTTAACAACCACCTTGTAAGATTTGCAATCGGTAACCATGTCTTGTAGTTTTTTCTCGGACAATGGTGATGGCAGTGGAGGAGTGATTTCTTCTTTCCTATTCTTTTTTGGTCTTTTCTCTCCCAAAGGTTTTTTCGGTATTTCTTCCTTCTTCTCCTCTTGTGTCTTTTTGGTTGTTTCTCTTCTGTCTTGAGTTTCACTGTATGTTCAACAACAACAATCCAATAAAGACATTTATGCATTATTGTGAATTTTTATTGTCGCCTATGAAATCAATAATACTAAGTTTACTCTAAATATTTTTCAATATAGAGTGGAAACCTAGGTTATCATTTGCAAGGACACATATCCAACTGTATTAAATTCTTAATATTCTTTCTACAAAAGTAAAATTTTGATGTTTGAAAATGTAAAACAATAATTAAAAAGTAAAACAGAAAACATAAACTTGGAAACCGAAATGAGAAAGACAAAAATAGTTCAATCCACAAATTCTCAATCAAATATTTCTCTTATCATAGTTTTTTAAAGATTTTAATAAAAGTTTAAACAATTATAATCAATTCAATTAATCAACTAAACTGATTATTTAAATTAAATTTCAATATCATTCAATCTAACTGGTTATTTAAATTAAATCTCAATATCATTTAATATAATTTGTATCTAATTATCAAGATTCAATCGATTCCTAATTTTATTTCTAAAAACAACATTACAAATTGATATCACAAAATATAAAACCAAGATTAGAGAAGAGAAAAATAAACTTGGAGCAAAAAACGATTAGTGTAAAACTTAATTTGGCTTGTTTGATCTAGATTTTATGAATTAATCCTTAAGATTTAGTTTTTCATGGATGAATAACTATGATGCAAATCGGACAAAAAAAGAGAAGAATAAGAAGAGTAAAAAATGAAAATAAGAGAAGAAGAGAGAAAATAGAAGATGTAAAGACATTTTTTAAACTAAAAAACATAAATGATTCTTTCATATGAGTTTATAACACTTTTAGTTTAATTAGGTCAATACGCCCAAATATACCCTAATATAAATGAAAATCAATTTTGCATGGATTCTTTATAAAATTTAAGCAAATATGCCAAACTTCTAAAATTCGTAAAAAATAGCACAAAACTTTAAATCCAACAAATAATATATCTATTTGATAACCTTAAAAATGTAAAATCCAATGTAACTTAAGTAAGTCAAAACTAATATCTGTAAAAAAGTTATGGCCAAACACAGGTAACAATGGTCATATTAGTTAAAAATGTAAAATTAAAATAAATATATATCTTGAACCTAATTTATTACTACTAACTAGAAATGAGTTTAAAAGTGAAAATAGAACATATGAAAAAAATGCATTTAGTTAGTAATAAAAAACACAATATTAATTTTAATAAAAATAAAAATATAAAATACTAACTTTAATCACATAGTTGATGCCAAATATTTTGATCGAATCGGGGGAAAATATTCATAACCACTAATGAATCTTAAATAATTGTGTCATTCTCACTCACTATGGCTAAAAAACACTCAAGAAACTTGTTTAATGGTTGCTATCATAGTTACTTAGTAAAAAATCATCACAAAAATGAGAAAGACAACTAATTGAGGAAGAATGAGGAAGACAAACAACTGAAAGCGATAGAAATAGAATTTTAGGTCAGACTATATAGAATTTAAAATAAATAAAAATGATTTTAATTTCAAAAATACCATCACAATAATAAATAATTTAATAATAAAAACTTATCGTAAAACACAAGAGATTTAATAATTTCATTATATCTTCGTCCGTAAATGTATTATTGAAGAAGATGGTTTCTAAGACCAACTAATATCACAAATTATTATATATTATATTAATATAAATTTAATTATTTAATATATATACATATATATATATATATTTTAAATTGTATTTAATTTCTTAATATATAAATTTAAGGAAAAGTTATGCATAAAGTATAAATATTAGAATTTTCTTTGGACCCCAAACAATTTTGTTTCAATTTTGAATGAAAATCAGGAGAATTAAATCAGATCTACTTGTTATAATTAAATATAAGTATGAGTATTTTTATATGATTATATTAACTTATAATATATACATATACTATCAAAGCATATAACAAATCTATACTATAATTTTTAACTATATTATAATTTTTAACTATAAAATTATATTTATGAATATGAAAGAATTATAACAATAATCATAAATAAATCTGTACTATAATATATCTCTAATTAATTTTTATTATATTCAACATTTTTTTAAAAATTTTATAGAAAAAAATCATAAAATTGATTCAAATCAAACATTAAATGTTGGTTTAGCATCATTTCACACCAAACAAAAAATCAATTCACGATAAAAAATATTAACATATTTATATAAATGCCATGTTATAAAAATAATGAAAAGTTATGATGGACAATTCACAAAAAAAATAAAAATAAAAGTACAGTTATAGACTTCTTCTTTTATATTTTTATTTATTTATTTTTCATATTAAAACAACTTCACCACGTGTTCCTTAAATAGGTTTTTAACAGTAAACGATGTTTAGCACAAGAAGTTTCTTAAAATTAAACACCAATTTTTATCATAGTGTGAAGAAGAATGGTAAAGGCATGTTTAAATTTTTTACTATTTTTAAAGTAATAAATAATTAAATATGTACATAATAATATATATATATATATATATATATAATAATAATAATAATAATAAAATTATTAAGAAGAAATAGATTTATCTTATTTTTTATTTGTTTTATTTTTTAACGTAAATAATCTCATTTTTTAAAATTTATTTTATTTTCTTATTTTTTTACCTTTTAATAATGAGGAATGGTAAAACAGAATGGGCAAGATAAGTTGGTTTGGTAGAATGGGTTAACAATTTGGCTATTGCTTCATGCATTGCTGTAATTTCTTCCTACACTCTCATTTAATTGAATTAAACCCATTTTATCTTTACCCTTCATCTTTCATCCGTTTTTATTTTTTATTTTGTTCAATGACTGATTTTTAAGTCCTATTATAACATTTTCATTCCTTCCTCTCTTATTCTTCCAAAAATTACAAGAACACAGGTAAAAATGTCTAACTTTTTTTTTAATCAAATTTTTTAGCTGGAGACACATTGCAGGGAGTGAAAAAACTACAAATTTTTTTCAAAAAAATATATTATGGAAAGTGCTTTTTGGAATAAATTTGTAGTATTGATGTTCTGAAAATGCATTTCATTTCATGATGATATACTTTCCTAAATATATTTTTAAAATGGATTTTTCAGAAATATATTTTGGAAAGTGCATTCGAGATTCATATTTTTAGAATTGATTTTCAGAAATGCATATTCTAGAATGAGAGTTTTAGAATGCGTTTCCGAACAAGTTAATCTAAAAATGTATTCAAAATTTGGTGTTCCAAAATTCAATCTCATTTTCGTGACACTGTTTTAAATTGAGCAATTTGGGTATGTTTGTGCAATTTAAGTGCAAAAATACACCATTCATATATAATATTAATGATTACTTATTTATAATCGTTAAAAAAGGTCTTCAATGGAATGATAACAAAAAAAAATCAAATAACTAAGGGATGAAAGTCTCGAGGGATGGAAGTGCAGAAGTTTTAGGTATTTGACTTAGGATATGAAGGTGTAGGAAAAAATTATAAGGTGCAAGAAATAATTGTTTAACAATTTTAGTTTTTCAACATGATTTGATTTATCTCACCTAACCCAACAATCGATAAATGACAGAATGATCGCTAACTCGTTTTAAAAAAAATATTTATATATAAAAATTAAAATAATAAAAAAGATAATTAAAATATTATATCAAACTTAAATAAGTAATTAATTAATGAATGAAAAAAATATTTTAACATATAAATTTTATAATTTTTTAATAAAAAATTAATTAATAAATAAAAATATAATAATTATTCATATAATTAAAATTATATATTTTTTAGAAGAAATATAAAAAATTGGTGGAACGATCCGTTGTTTACAATCTGTAATCCGTTCTGAATTATCACAATTCAGCGTATATCTTTTTAAGAGCTCGGAGGGGACCAAAATGGAAAGAGAATTGATCCATTATGCAATCCTAAGAGTGAAAAAGATTTAATGTATAATTATTATAATTATAATTATAATTATAATTATAATTATTATTATGGACAGGAGTCCACAATTGTAGAGTATCGTGGCAGATTCGAAGACATTAATTTCGGGGAGCAAAATTCCAAAGATGCTAACCCCTTTCCAAAGAAACACGAAGAAACATGTCGCTTCCGCGAATAATCAAGAGTGCGAATGCCTCCATCACCGCATATATACGACCCAATTCCAGGCCCTATCATCATCCAAATCACTCATTGCTATTTCCCAAGTCTCAGCACACCCTTTTTCATTCTTTCACCTTCATGGGTTTAATATTTGGAAAAATCAGCGTCGAGACCCCAAAATATGAAATGATTAAATCCACGAACGAATACGAAATCCGCAAATATCCGCCCTGTGTAGTGGCTGAAGTCACATATGACCCATCACAGTTTAAGGGAAATAAAGATGGTGGCTTTATGGTTTTGGCCAATTACATTGGTGCTTTGGGGAACCCCCAGAACACCAAGCCTGAGAAGATTGCCATGACTGCACCAGTTATAACCAAGGACAGTGATGAGGGTGGCGAGAAGATTGCTATGACAGCTCCAGTTGTGACAAAAGATGGTGGTGGTGGTGGTGATGAAGAAGGGAAGAAGCACAAGATGGTGACTATGCAGTTTGTTTTACCAGCTGTGTATGGGAAAGCTGAGGAGGCGCCTAAGCCTACTGATGAGAGGGTTGTGATCAAAGAAGAGGGTGCGAGGAAATATGGGGTGGTGAAGTTTGGAGGTGTGGCATCCGAGGAAGTGGTGAGGGAGAAGGTGAAGAAGCTGAGGGTGAGTTTGGAGAATGATGGGTTTAAGGTGGTTGGGAATTTCTTGTTGGGTAGGTACAACCCACCTTGGACAATTCCTGTGTTCAGGACTAATGAGGTTATGATCCCAGTTGAATGAAATTAAAGGGTGTTTTGATGTTAGTGAATAATGATGATTTACAGATTTCAGTGTTTTGTGTTCTGTTTATTATGATGTTTTTACTTTTATTGAGAAGTTTAGAGTATGTTGTACTTTGCCTTGTTTCAATTAAAGACACATAAAAATGGTTTTTATATGCTACGGTAGGTTTTTTGATCATTTTTTTGTTGTCTGGTTGGTAATTTTTAAAGGTTTTTATACGCTTAACGCTGCAATTTTGATGCAAGCAAAAACTTTCTCCAATCATTAAACCCTGTTTGAAGTGTGAATTTTCCCGACTTATATTTCAATCCACACTCAAACTGGTTTTCACACCCATCCTTTCATTTCATGCTTCCACGCGTGTTAAAAAAACAAAATTACTATGAAGATTGATACGAGTATAAGGCTAATTGTTATACATTTGAGCAATCTATGCTAGCATAGTTATTTATATGCCACATGTTAACAGACCGAAAAAAATTACAAATTCAAAGGGAATGAAGAATGATAATCGAAACATATGCAGCAATAAACTAGTACAACTGACTTACTCTGTTCATTATACCTCTGAATTGAATTTTTAGGATTGCAACTGTTCACAGAACGTAAATTTACATATGATGCACAGAACTAAGCACAATGTTTCAATGCCGCTCTAATTAAGTTATCCAGAAATCAGCTTCACAATTATAAAGATACTATTAAAGAGAATAAGGGGAAGTCTCAAGAATTGACAGGCATATATGAGTCCTATGACTTGCCCTTTAAGAGAATTCCTTCTAGGTCCTGTCATGTCTGCCAAAGTCCATCCTCTTGGAGCAAGGAACCGCTCCTCATTCAAAATTGCCAATGCATTTGCAAAGAGCAAAATGCCTTCTAAAAACGTCCAGAAGCCCATTTTCTGCCAGAAACACAAAGGGCGTGCATCTTATTTCTCAGAGGAAAGCTTCTTCACAAGTTACACTCCACTTTTCACACAAGAAACAGTTAAAGAAATTCAAATATCAATAGGGAATGAAAGTAGGCACAACCAAATTCTAAAGTCACTATCATTTAAGGCTATCATTAGCTTGATCTGCATACAGAACTCATGCTTTAACTCCACCGGAAATCAATCAATAGGGCCAAAACCAAACTTATCCAAGTAAATCAGAGTGCAAGGCATATCCTTGCTAGGCTCAGCTAAATGGGCATGTAAGCACAAATTAGGGTGACATTCTACACACAATTGGCAATTGTATGTAAAATTCTGGAGAAAATACAGAGATGTTCCTTCCCTTCACAATCTTCTATTTCCCTCAAATATTCAATTGCAAAACATTTCATTATTTTGCCTATCCTGACTAGGCTGGCTACTGGGGATGCAAACCCAAACTAATAACATTCCACTTAGAATTAACATTCCTAACCTAATACAAGTGATAAAATACAAGCGGTTTTTCTTGAACTGTTCACTGCTTCACAATTGTTTGGCACAATAAGTGGTTGTTTTAATAATAACCATACCATAAGCCAGAAGAAGAACAACCAAATCTCATATGCACAACTGCATGCAACAAACCAGATCATGGATGTGGAATAAAACAGAAAAAACACCGAGCCCCATAGGCTAAAATTTCACTATAGTCTGCAATAGCACTAGATACTACTCCATGTCATAAATTCACCGCAAAAGTGTTGCATGACATGCTCTGATTACAAATAGTACACAGCGAGATGGGAGGGAAGATGATAACAAATGAATCTCTGACTACAAAACATAGTTTCTCAAAAACATTCTTCTCAACATTAACCAATTAAGAATAAGAAGTTCATTTTGGTCGTATAAATCACAAAGGCTCCCAATTTTTGAAGTATAAAATGTAAAACAGATAAACTCAGACCAATCAATCCACACAAGATTCTTTACTGTCAATCATAGTGAAAGGACAAACAATAAATTTTACATCCAACTTTTTTCCCTAGCAACAACTAAACAGTGGTTTAACACATCTTTTTCTCAGAAGTAGATCAGAGAGAACATTCCGAGGTTATTAATACCCAGTAGACCGATGGCACAACCCAAATTCGCATGCAAACAAAAACATGTAAAATTGTGATCTCAGTATAAGAAAAACCGTATTGACCATCTTAAATAAATTTTATGTGAACCACAAAATTGAAACAATCTCAATCCAAGTTCGAACCAAGAAGTCATACAAACTAAGAAACCACAACACTTGAGAAAGAATGATGATCGAGATGATTTTCAGACACACCTGAGAAGCAAAATTGGAAAAAACAACGACCTACGACGGCTCGAGTCTGTAACCCGCTCTTAAGAAAGAAATCTTTAGAAGACGAACCTAGGACTGCCCGAAAACTCATCTAACGACACAGAATGGCCGTAGCTAACACGTCAGCTTGCTAAGCTGAAAACACCCGTTGGATCAGAAGCCTAGGCAGCAATAACTGAAACACGCCGCACTCTATCATTCTCTCTCTTAAAGTAAGTTTCACGTTACTGTACACATTAGTGCCAGTAACTTGTAACTTACACAATTGAATGGTAATTTAATTTTAAAACTTATTTTTGTAGTAAGTAAGGAATGACAAAATTAATTCCCTCCAAATTTTTTAACAATTTTTTTTTATTTTTTATTTTTATAGAATTCATTTTGTTTATACTAACTTGAAAGCACGAGAATATATAATCTTATCGATTTAAACATGTATTACTTGATAATTTATGTATAATAACTTTATTTTGTTGGCAAATTTTGGGTCATGTATATATATGATACATATTTAAATGTGTTAGGATCATTATTTATTAAGCCAAATAATAAAGTGATCTGAATAAATTAAAGTTTTGGCTAAAAGCATATGTCATGAAAATATGATTGTGTAGAGACCATAGAGTAATTTCTAATTTGATGAGGGGCCAAATTGGAAATACTAAAACTTAATTAATTAACCTAATTTTGGTTATTTTAAGGGGTCATGGTCCCCTTCTTAGAGCACACAGACAGAACACAGTTACAATCCCGTTTTTTTATGTCTATCTCCATCAAGAGAGAAAATCAAGAGGGAAATACATGTGCTCTTCAGGTGGAAGACCATAAGATCAAATCAAAAGTGCTCTACAAAGGATATCGTCATTATGGTCAATTCAGGTACGCTTTCACATTTAGTTTATAACATGTTTACAGTATGTGATTACATATATGTTTGATCATTAGAATGAAGATCATATTCAATTACAGTTTCACCTAACAATTGGTATCAGAGCTTCCCATACTTGATTCATGTTTGTCTTAGGAAATATTTAAGAATTTAGATTAATTTCCGTAACCCTAAATCCCTAATTAAAAATCCCAAAAATTGAGAATCCGGGTTTCTTAAAACCCAATTCTCGCACAACTGTTGGGGCTATGTGCGACGATATTCTTCGTGGGCATGTGGCTGCACAACGTGGCAACTGCGGTGATGATGATGCCGGTGGCGACGGGGACGGGTGTGAATTTGATAATAATCAGAATGTGGAAGAGCCTCTTCCCGGATGCAAAGCCAATAAGCTTCAATACGTGGTTCTTCTATGGGTTCCCTGTGGCTATTCTCATGGCTAATTCAGTGAGGGGTTAGGAAAATTCAAGATTTGGCCAAGAGCAGGGTGGCCTCCTTGATTGGGACCCAACGGTGAAGGCGCAGAAGATGAGGGTTTCGTGGAACCTCCGGAAATTGCCTTACGACGTTGATAGCTAGAAATTGGCCATTCTTTTCGAACAAGCCGGAACCGTTGAAATTGCCGAAGTGATTTATAACAGGGATACTGACCGTAGTCGCGGATTTGAGTTTGTGACGATGAGTACTGTTGAAGAAACTGAGAACGCTGTGGAGAAATTCAATAGCTATCATTCCACCATATTGGTAAAGAACCACAATATAATTATGCGCTTGGTGCCGTGCCAATTACATGGGGACCTAACAAAACGTGGGACCCGCTACCTTAATTAAAAAGGGAATATGATGGTGTTAATGTTGTGGGACCCGCTGCCTTAATTAAAAAGCCATAATATTTGGCATTATAGTACAATTTTTTTTAAAAGTGGTCCTTCAAACTTAATTTGGTTTAGGATTACCCTTATTAATATATTCAATTTGTTTGGTAGTTTAATATTTTTTGTGAGCAAATTGAGTCAAGAAGTTACCAAAGTAACATCTCTTGAATTGGGTAGTTCGTGAAAAATATTAAATGTTAGTGTTTGTGTATATTCATGCGAGTATTAGTCGGCCCAAAGGAAGATTAATATTTGGCCGAATTACATACACACCTGTAATGATAAACATGTGATAATTATAAGGATTTGCTTTGTTGATGATAAATAAATCCAAAGACTGGTTTGTTGTTGGACGTGCTTTATTGTCAATGTTTGATTATTACAACAAGATACCTCTAGCAGTTAATATTACTGTCCAATGACTTGATATTGATGGTGCATTGAGTGTCTTGAGATGGGTTAAACCATTATTTGAATATATATTTTATTTATAATTATTTATTTTTTATAATGTGAGCATAATTAATTTATTTCTCTTGTTTTTAATTTAGCTACAATTGATTCTGTATCTGCCAATTTAAATTATGTTCCGATCCTCAAAAGTACATTTCCTACTTTGGTCTGTTCTGAAGTCAATTTAGCGTCAGTACCTAGTAACACATGGTGGTTAGACTCAGGTGCAACTACTAACATCAGTGTTTCTATAAAGGGTTGCCTAAGCTATCGGAAGCCAATTGATTCTGAAATATGGATATATGTTGGAGATGGCAAATCGGTAGAGGTGGAAGCTATAGGGCATTTTAAATTGTTATTGAGTACTGGTTTTTATTTGGATTTGAAAGACACTTTTGTTGTGCCGTCATTTAGACGAAATTTGGTTTCAGTTTCTTATCTGGACAAATTAGGTTATTTGTGTTCATTTGGAAACAATAAGTTCAGTTTGTCTTTTAATTTAGATATTGTTGGAACTGGTTCACTTTTGCCTTATGATAATATGTATTTACTTGATACTGTGACCACCTATAATGAAACTCTTAATACAGAATCACGGGGTACTAAACGTAAAATTGATGATACTCACTCAGGAGCATTATGGCACAGGCGCTTAGGTCACATCTCTAAAAATAGAGTTGAACGACTTGTGTTAAATGGAATCTTAGAGTCCATTGACTTCACAAACTTTGATGTTTGTGTTGAATGCATTAAGGGAAAACAGACCAAAGTGAAGAGATTAGGTGCATATAGAGCTACAAACGTCTTAGAGTTGATACATACAGACATTTGTGGGTCATTTCCTACACGTTCGTGGAATGGTCAATAATACTTTATATCATTCATAGACGATTACTCACGATATGCATACTTATTCCTTATACATGAAAAGTCACAATCTCTAGACGTATTCAAAACATTTAAAGCTGAAGTTGAAAATCAACTCAATAAAAGAATTCAGTCTGTCAGATCTGATCGTGGTGGTGAGTACTATGGCAGATTTGACGGGTCAGGTGAATAGCGTCCAGGACCTTTTGCCAGGTACCTAGAGGAGTGTGGAATTGTCCCACAGTATACCATGCGGGGATCACCTAGCATGAATGGTGTAGCTGAAAGATGAAATCGAACTCTTAAAGATATGGTCAGGAGTATGATTTGTCATTCCACCTTACCAGAGTCACTCTGGGGAGAGGCACTAAAGACGGCAGCTTATATTCTGAACAGAGTACCAACTAAAGCAGCGACCAAAACACCTTATGAGCTTTGGACTGGGCGACAACCTAGTCTGAAGCATTTCCATGTGTGGGGTTGTCCAGTTGAGGCAAGGCCTTATAAGCCAAATGAAAAGAAATTGGACTCACGAACAGTAAGTGGTTATTTTATTGGTTATGCTGAAAGATCCAGGGGATATAAATTTTATGATCCCACATTAAAGACAATTTTTGAGACGGGAACTGCTACGTTCTTTGAGGATATTGAGTTTGGGGGGAAGAATAAAATCAGGAACTTTGTTTTGGAGGAAGAATCGGTAACAATTCCAGAACCGATTCAAACAGTTACTTTTGATAAAGTAAGTTCGGAACCTCCACAAGGCATTGTTAATGAACCCCTTACTCAAGATGATTTGGTTGTTCATGAAGAACAAACTCAAGATCCTCAAGAACCTGTGTATCATGAGCCAATAACTTTGCGGAGATCCACTAGAGAAAGAAGAAGTGTTATTTCGGATGATTACATGGTATTTCTTCAGGAACATGAGGAAAACAATGGTATGATGGAAGATGACCCAGTTAACTTCCGTCAAGCCATGCAAGGTTCTAACTCTGAAAAGTGGATTGAAGCAATGAAGGAGGAGTATAAGTCCATGCAAGACAACAAGGTTTGGGAACTTGTCCCATTACCAGAAGGTATGAGACCCATTGGTTGCAAGTGGATATTTAAGACCAAATGGGATTCTAAAGGTAATGTGGAAAGGTATAAGGCTCGTCTGGTAGCTAAGGGCTATACCCAAAAGGAAGGGATTGACTTTAAAGAGACTTTCTCTCCAGTTTCATCGAAAGACTCTTTTAGGACAATCATGGCTCTTGTAGCACATTATGATTTGGAGCTTCATCAAATGGATGTCAAGACGGCGTTTCTTAATGACAACATTGATGAGACGATTTATATGGTGCAACCAGAAAATTTTGTGCAGGGAGATTCAAAGAGTATGGTTTGCAAACTAACAAAATCCATTTATGGACTAAAACAAACATCTCGTTAATGGTACTATAAATTTCATCAAGTAATTCTCTCATTTGACTTCGAGATGAATATTGTTGATGATTGTGTATATCACAAGTTTAAGGGGAGTAAGTATATTTTCCTGATCTTGTATGTTGATGACATTCTACTTGCCACTAATGATATGGGCATATTGCACGAAACCAAGAAATTTTTATCAAAGGATTTCGAAATGAAAGATCTTGGTGATGCGTCTTTTGTATTAGGAATTCAGATACATCGAGATCGATGTCGGGGTATTTTGGGATTATCACAAAGGAGCTATATCGAAACAATTCTTAAAAGGTTTGGCATGCATGAATGTAAATCCGGGGATACTCCAGTTGCTAAGGGAGACAAGTTTAGTCTAAATCAGTGCCCAAAGGGAAATTTGGAAAATGAGGAAATGCAAAAGATTCCCTATGCATCAGCTGTAGGGAGTTTGATGTATGCCCAAGTATGTACGCGTCCAGACATAGTATACATAGTTGGGGTTCTAGGCAGATATTTAAGCAATCCAGGAATGGACCATTGGAAAGCAGCAAAAAGGGTCATGAGATATTTAAAGAGAACAAAAGATTACATGCTCACATACAGGAGGTCAGACCAGTTGGAGATCGCTGGGTTTTCTGATTCGAACTTTGCGAGGATGTCAAGATAGTTTGAAATCCACTTCGAGTTACATTTTCATGTTAGCGAGTGGTGCGGTTTCTTGGCGCAGTGTCAAGCAAACCCTTACGACTTCATCCACTATGGCAGCGAGAATTTGTAGCATGCTATGAGGCATCGAATCACGGAATATGGCTGAGAAATTTTGTCACGGGGCTGCAAATTGTGAAAGGCATTGAAAAACCACTTAAGTTATATTGTGACAACAAATCAGCAGTATTGTATTCCAACAACAACGAAGTTCGACTAAGTCAAAACACATCGACATTAAGTTCCTAGTTGTTAAGGAAAGAGTAAAGAGTGGACAGATTTCCATAGAACATTTAGGGACAAACTCCATGATAGCGAGATCCTCTAACTAAAGGACTTTCGCCCAAGGTCTTTCATGAGCATGTTGCTCACATGGGTGTTTTACAGTTTGAGGAATTTGTGGTTTAGTGGGAGTTAGTCATTTTGATATATTTTATGTTCTATGTTTAATTTTATATATGTATACATTGTTTTTGGACATATTTGGTTATCTATAGATATGCGGTTTTTTTGTTCATTCATTACACTTTGTACATTAAGGTTACTATATCGATCTCGATAAGTTAAAGTTTGGACCAGTTGAAAATAGACGTGTACAGATCACATTCACGTAATGTTTCATGCTACACATTTCATGATGAATCCATGTCATTTGGTTATGTCAGGATGAGTAATCATTGTTGGTTTTAGTTGCGATGATACAATGAAAAGCTGGTTTTGTTCTATATCCTGATATGATTAATGGACAAGACTTTTGGAATATGCTAAAGGAATATAATGACAATTTTGAGCTCATAAAGTCTAACACATTTGTAAGGTTGTAAAGACATATATATTTGTGACCAGTGGGAGATTGTTGGCAAATTTTGGGTCATGTATATATATGATACATATTTAAATGTGTTAGGGTCATTATTTATTAAGCCAAATAATAAAGTGATCTGAATAAATTAAAGTTTTGGCTAAAGGCATATGTCATGAAAATATGATTGTGTAGAGACCATAGAGTAATTTCTAATTTGATGAGGGGCCAAATTGGAAATAATAAAACTTAAGTAATTAACCTAATTTTGGTTATTTTAAGGGGTCATGGTCCCCTTCGAAAGCACACGAGACGTAACACGATTACAATCCCGCTTTTTTCTTTCTATCTCCATCAAGAGAGAAAATCAAGAGGGAAATACAGAGTCTTCTTCGGTGGAAGACCATAAGATCAAATCAAAAGTGCTTCTACAAAGGATATCGTCATTATGGTTAATTCGAGTGACGCTTTCGCATTTAGTTTATAACATGTTTACGGTATGGGATTACATATATGTTTGATCATTAGAATGAAGATCATATTCAATTACAGTTTCACCTAACATATATTTTCCTTGATTATCAGTTAAATATAAATTATTTAATAATATTCTCTTAAATTTATTATTTTTATAATAAAAAAATCTGACTAAAGACCCTTTCCGACCCGATTCTTTTGAACTACCTAATGTGACCCGATAACATTCTCCGGAATGCGAAAAACCCAACATCGACGATAAACCCTTCTACTGAACACTGATCCATCAAACCCAAAATGGCGTTACTTCATCACCATCACCGCCACCTTCTTCTCACTCTTCCCTTCCCTCACTCTCCAACCCCACCCAAACGCTTCTTTTTCAAAACAACACGGCCACTCAAACCGACACACTCCACCGTGGAGTCCCCAACCCCAAAACGACGCGGCCGAAAGAAGAAGCCCCCACCATCCGAAACACCACCCGCAAACGACACCCCGGAGACCCAAAATGCAGAGGCGAAAAAGGAGCAACCTTCAGAGGACGACGAGCTGTTCGACTACGACGATGGCATCGACTTCCCCTACGAGGATCCGCCGCTGGTGTGCTGCTTCGGCGCGGCGCAGAGGGAGTTCATACCTGGGGTGAGGGTGCAGCGGTACCCGATGCACCCGGACAAATACTCGGAGTGGAAGATGCTGCAGTGGAAGCCGCCGGAGTTCGCACGGGCGCCGGGAGGACCGCCGTCGAACGTGGCGGTGGCTCACGTGCGGTTAGGGGGACGTGCAGCGTTTTTGGGGAAGGTGGGTAATGACGAGTTTGGGGAGGATTTGGTGCTGATGATGAACAAGGAGAGGGTGCAGACGAGAGGGGTTAAATTTGATGAGGGGCTCAGGACGGGGTGCGCATATATGAAGGCGAGGTTTGAGGAGGGGAGGATGAAGATGGAGATGGTCAAGAACTCTGCTGAGGACTCGCTTCTTGCATCTGAACTCAACCTTGCTGTTTTGAAAGAGGTATTTGTTTTGCTTCTTCAAGTGTTCTGTGTTTAGGCGTAGTTTGTCATAGTCACTACTCACTAGTGTTTCTGTGGATTATGTATGCCGTGGAGAAACGTTAGTAATGCACTTGTATGTTTAATAAAACTGCCTGATCAAGGTTTTGATTGGGTTGAAGGGAAAATAAAATAGTTGGAGAGAAAATGGAAGGGTAAAGGTGAGCATAGGTGCCCTCTAGAAATAAAAATTCCAAATTTTCCTTGCAAAATTTCAAACTTTTCTTGTCTCTCTTAGTTTCTTTCCATATTAAAGAGACCAGAGACTATGTTTAGATTATGTTTGGATTGATGTTAGATGGTGGACAACTAAATCCGGTTTTCAACTAACTAATTCTAATTACTCTACTAATATAATTAATTATAGTTCAACCAGAGTTCCAACTGATTGAGCCTGGTGAGCAAGCCAACCCCACGCTGCAATTCAGAATAGTTTTCACTCCTCCTGGATCAAACAGAAGCATATGAATTCTCCTATGCTCCTCCAGTGTTCTGTTTTTAGCTGTACTTGTTTTACCATGAAACATTGGAGCACCTCCAGTTAACTGAGAAGATCACATGACTCTGTCTGTTGCAAAATGAACTATGGGAAGTGGGTGTAAGGTGAAGGAGAAGTAAGTAAGATTAGTTAGCATGTTAATGAATTAGTTAGTTACTTGAGGTGTTGTTTAGATACAAATAGGATAAGAAGGATAGACGAAGGATTTGTAAATTGAGCATTAGCCCTTTGTGAAAGGAGAGAAATCCTTTGTGAATGGGAAATTCTTGGAGGAAAGAGTGCTCTCTTATTTCCTGATCTTTTCATTCTATTCAATAAAATATTTATTTTCTTCTCTCTGCTTCAAGGGTTCCCTTCACAAAGGATTTCTCCTTCACTTTATACCCTAACACCATCATAGTCTCTTTTTTGTTCATTTTTTCCACTTTCAAATGCTCATCTTTGCTTGTCTTTAGTTAGGTTCTTCATTCATAGATGCAGATGGTAATAATTTGTTAAGGCAAGAGTGAGACTCTTTGCATTGTTTGTTGTGAATTTGTTGTGACTTCTTTTGCGTGGACCACTGCAGGCTAGGATTTTTCATTTCAATTCAGAAGTTCTAACATGCCCCACCATGGAATCAACACTATTCAGAGCAATTAAATGGACTAGAAAGTTTGGTGGTCTTGTATTTTTTGATTTAAATCTGCCATTATCGCTGTGGAGATCTCGAGATGAGACGAGAGAAATAATAAAAAAAGCATGGAATGAAGCAGACATCATTGAAGTTTCAAGAAGTGAGCTAGAATTCCTTCTAGATGAAGAATATTATGAGAGGAAAAGAAATTATAGGCCACAATACTTTGCTGAAAGTTACGAAGAAACCAAGAATCGACAAGAATATTACCATTACACTTCTGAAGAAGTGGCGCCTTTGTGGCATGATCGACTTAAGTTCCTGTTTGTGACTGATGGAACCATTAGAATTCACTACTATACCCCTTCTTTTGATGGGTCTGTCGTGGGAACCGAAGATGTGCTCATAACCCCATTTACTTGTGATAGAACTGGTTCAGGTGATGCTATTGTAGCTGCTATTCTAAGGAAGCTAACCACTTGCCCAGAGATGTTCGAAAATCAAGATGTTTTGGAGAGACAACTACGCTTTGCTGTTGCAGCAGGAATTATAGCCCAATGGACTATTGGTGCTGTTAGAGGTTTTCCTACAGAAAGTGCCACTCAGAATCTCAAAGAACAAGTTTACGTGCCTTCAATGTGGTGATTAATTCTATGTGTGACTCTGTATCTTCATACAGTCCTAACGCATTGATTAGTTGGTAGTTATTGATTGATTATTTATTTGGATATGTCAGAAAGTGTTTCATATGACATGGGAGTAGGCAAGATTGCTTGGTTGTTTGCTTTGACTCCACTTCATGTCAATTGCAATTTTGTAGGAAGAAAAAAAAATGTTGTACCTGCATAAATGTTTTCTGATGCAACATTTGATATCTCCACAATGACATGCTTGGCCCCAAAATATAAACTAATCTTCATTGCAATTTTGGATCATATTTTTAATAAATCTATATATTTTTTAATTATTCATAATTTTATTTAATTTTTTATTTTAAAAACGATCATTGTTATAGTTAAGTATGTTTAATTTAATAACTTAAAAATTGAAATTAAAATAACTTTCTTTAAAAGATTCGCATACTTTGTGTTTTGATTTATGAAAATAATAAGATTAATTTTAAAAAAATTTAGAAATAACTATATAACGTCTCTAAAATAATAAATTATATTTGATGATAATATTAATTAAAATGCTATGTATATTATATTCAATTATTTTAATAATAAAAATAATATATATATATATATATATATATTAGATATAATAAAAAAATCCAATATTAAATACGCTTACCTAATTTTAAAGGTTAATTATTTCCAACATATTTATTAGTAAAGGTTAAGTATGATAGTCAATTATTTTACAATAAAGTAAAAAAAGGGTAAAGATAATTAAAAAAATTAAGTGAACAAAGTTCAACCTCAAAATTACATATTTTACAAAATTAGAATCAAAATTATAATTAACCCTATAAATTATCAATCACGTTTATGATAAGGTTAAATCATTTACAAATGTTAACAAATAACAATTTATCTGTCATATTAATATAAAAATATAAATAAAAGTATCACAAATTTGGTTTCATAAAAATTGAAAGAAGAATTAAGGGTAAAAACCCATTAAGAAATAAATGGTGAAAATAAAAAATTTAAATTAAATGAAATTATCATCATCAAAATGTATTTTAATCTTTTACATGTCCCTCTTTTTTTTTTTTTTCTTTTTTTAAGTCTCTGTATTCCCTGCCAGCATCTTTCATCTTCGTTTCATGTTTGCGTTAGTCTGTATTCCTTGCCTAACACACAAGAATGTCTTACGAAAGGACTAATCTTTCCGAGGCTCTACTTGCCTTCGTTGTGGATCAATATCTATCTAACAACCAATTCTCCCAAACGCGTGCCACCTTCCGCAGTGAAGCTTCGTCACTCTTTACCGGTGCGCCAGAAATCGAGGTTACTCTTCGCAACCCATTCTTTAGTTGTTTTCTTTTCTCTTTCAAATTTTCACAGGTGAGTGGTGGCAAATTTTGGGTTATGTGATAGATAATTTAAATATTTTAGGATTATTTATTAAGTTAAATAATAAGATGATATGAATAAATTAAAGTTTGATTAAAAACATATCTTTTTTAAATAAAATTGTATAGAGAACATATAACCCTTTCTAATTTGATGAGGGATTAAATTGAAAATATTAAAATTTAAATATTTAATTTAATTATAGTTATTTAAAGGGTCATAGTTCTATTTTAGGAGTACATACATAAAAAGTACCCGCTTTCTTTCTTTCTATCCCAATCAAGAAAGAAAATCCAGGAGGAAATATAGGTGGTCTTCAAGTGGAAGACCATAAGATTAATAGTGCTCTACAAGGATATTATTATTATGGTTAATTCAAGTACGTTTTCGCATTCAGTTTACAACATATTTATGAGTATGAGATAATGTTTATGTTTGATAGTTAGAATCAAAATCAGGATTATAATTATTATTAATTTTTCAACAATTGGTATCAGAGCCGCCCATACTTATTCATGTCTCGTTTAATTTATAGAACCCTAATTATGAAAATTAGGATTAATTTTATTTTAAACAATTCAAATTATCCAATTTTCGTGAACCCTAAAATTTAAATTTGGGGGTAACATCCCCAATCTACTTCTGCTCGTTGATGGAATCGTGGAGGAAACTATGAATTCTTCTTCTTCATTTTTACCTTTTGTTTCAGTTTAAGTTTTAAGTTTTACTGAAAAAGAAATAGTGTTTCAAGTTTCAATCTTTTTTGTATCGAGTTCTCTGTTCCCTTTGAATCTTTTGTTCTTGTTTTTATTTATTTATTTTTTCTGAGTTTTGTTTTCGCTTTCTTTTCATGGTGGATATAGATGGGTTTTGATATGAATCACAAGGGGTGATTTAGGATCTTTAAGGTTAGAACCTTGTAGAAAATTTAGGAATTTAGTGATAAGGTGGAAAGAAAGAATCACTCTTTCCAAGGAAAACAACTCACAAAGGATGTGAAAGTCCTTTAATATAGCTAAGGGTTCTTGAATCACTCAAGAATTTAGGAGAATCACTCTCACTAAGATAAAAGAGATAAACTCTAATATTTCTAAAAATAAAACTCAACTTGTTATTTCTGATAAAAATGGTTCAGCTTATAAAGAAGCTTTGCCATTAGAGTTACAAATATTCACTAAAAGAAAATAAATGCTAATAATGATTTATTAACCTAGGAATTGAACACTACTCAATGGCCGATTGTAACTGAAATTGTGGCATCCAAAAGTCAATCAGCTATACACCCTTTTGGTCTCCCAAAGACTGATAACTAAATTTCCAATTGGGCCCTTATTACAACTTGCAATAAAACCAAACTAAAGTCCATTAATTGATTAATCCAAAACACAATTTGGTCAACCAACAATACTTTTTGAAGAGCTTTCTTTGTTTCCCTTGTTGAACATTCAAGGACTTGATGTTGCACTTGATGAACATGAAGATTGTTGATTTTGATGATGATTCAAGAACTCAAAGACTTAGAGTATTGAAGACGTGTTTTGTAGTGTAATAACTCTGTTTTAATTAGAATGAGTCTGTATTTTTAGAGTTTGAGATAGCCAGTACATAGTCTGTAACTTAGAAGCTTCAAAAAGCCCAATTATATCATCCAGGCTCGGCTTTAATCGATTATATAGGGAAATAATCGATTAAAACAGTGAGAAAACCATTTTCAGTATATACTCACTATTTTAATCGATTAAAACATCAAAATAATCGATTATTAGGTCAAATAATCGATTATTAGGTCAAATAATCGATTAAAACTTCAAATAATCGATTAAAACAGAGAGGTTTTGGGTTCTATTTTTTTGGCTCTGTTTTAATCGATTATAACTCCATTTAATCGATTATTTCAGTCTGTTTTTGATTTTAAACTTCAAATCAACCCTATTTTCGAAAATCCAATTACCAAGAACCCTAGTTTCAAAATCCCCAATTTCTAAACCCTAATTTCCCTACTTAAACTCTCCTTTGGCACTCAGAAAAGAAGAACAACCTTTTCCATACAAAAGTTAAGTGCTGTGAGTGCCAGAGAACTGTTTGTTGCAAGGAAAGGGGGCTTTCTGAACCTGGTGTGGGCTAGAAGTGATAAGAATCACTAAGTGGAGTTCTTAGTGGATTGTGTGCTGTGCCGTCTCTGGGGAAAGCTGTTCTTCATCTCTTGTGGGTTTCAAGAGAGGTGTCATCTTTTACTTTATCTCTTCCATTGTAATTTGTATTGTAACAATTTGTTTATAGTGACAACGTTAATCCTCTGTTGAGTGATTAGCAACTGGACGTAGGGTCTTTTGATCCGAACCAGTATAAATCTCCTGTGTAAGATTCTCTTTTCTTCTCTATTTACATTTACACAGTTTTTAATCGGTAAAATTTGGGGAAAATTTTGAAAACCTAATTTTTATTAAGAAACCAATTCACCCCCCTCTTGGTTTTTGTCCGACCACACGAACATTCCGCTGCGCGATTCTAACAAGTGGTATCAGAGCTTGCTTTGATAGTCATTCAAATTTTCGATAATGGCTGGACAAAATCAAACTTTTGCCGAATGTGCGTCTATCAACAGACCCCCACTTTTTGCGGGTCAAAATTATCCTTTTTGGAAGGTACGTATGCAAATATTTTTAGAGTCTGTTGATAGAGGCGTTTGGGACGCTATTTTAAACGGTCCTTTTATTCCTAAAGTTTTTGAAAATGGAGTAGAAGTACCAAAACAATTTTTTAGATGGTCGGATGAAGAAAATAGGAAAGCCCAATATGACGTTAGGGCTAGAAATATAATTTCATCTGCTTTAACCCTTGATGGGTTTTACAGGATATCAGTTTGTAAGAGTGCTCAAGAAATGTGGGATAAACTAAGAGTAACTTATGAAGGAACCGATGATAGTGACTCGATTTTGGAGTCAAGTGATATGGAAATAGAAGCTAACATTTGCTTGTTGGCAAAAGACAATATATCTTCCGACTTTGAGGTTAGTGATTCCGACTCATCCTCAAGTGATGATGAAAATGATTTTGATGAATTACAAAATGCATATAATGAATTGTTTAGTGCTTTTAAGGACTTGAACAATAAATACAAAGTTGTGAAAAAGAGTTTAAGTAGTTCCAAAATGGAGGTAGAGTCCTTAAAAATGAAAATCACATGTTTAGAAGAAAAGGAGTCCTTAAAAACGAAAATTTCATGTTTAGAGGAAAAGGAAACCTTAGAAACGAAAATTGTATGCATAGATGAGAATAATGATAAGAATATAGTATGTGCATCTTGTAAAGAGTATGAGTATGACATAGATATACTTAATCATCTACTTGATAAAGCCGAAAAGGAATTGAGTAATAATAATAAAGTTGTTGTAACTCAAAATAGTGTAAATTATCAAGTTCCTTTGAAAAAGCCTAAAAGGAAAAATAAAAGAGTATGGGTAGAAAAATGAACTAGAACATCTATGGTTAAATAATCATCATATTCTAAAATTACATCTAATGCATGCTTTTATTGTATGAAACATGGTCATACTTCAAATAGATGTAAAATTAAGCATTTTGGAGTTCCTAAAGGAAAATATATTTGGGTTCCTATAG